CATCATGGATCAGATATTGATCAGATGCTGCTGCTGACTGATCCATGATCTGTCAGCATGAAAATGAAAATCTGAATTATGGAACTGAAAGTGAAAGTAGTCAAACTGATTTTTTCATAAACCAAAATACAGTTTCAAAACAAATTAATTCAAATTCTAAACATTAAATTCAGTTTCAATTTAGTGAAATTCACTTTCAAACCAATGCATTTAATTTCAAATTCTGCACATTCAGATTCAATCTGAGCGATTCAGATTCACTTCCTGCTGACACAAGATTTATCCCATATATATGACTCATCCATCACATTTAGATGAATTTAGAAGCTGTAAAACACCGCGGGTTTTAACGCACCCAGGCCGAAGCGGTAGCCATCAGCGAAGCGAGAGCTGGCGTTCCAGAACACGCAGGCGCTGTCCACCTGCTGCAGGAACTGCTCCGCCGTGCTTTCGTTCTCCGTGACGATGACGTCGGTGTGGGAGCTGCCGTACTTGTGGATGTGGTCCACGGCGTCCTGCATGCTGTCCACCACCTCGATGCAGCACTCCAGGTCCCCGTACTCGGTCCGGAGGGACTTCACCTCCGACGGGCTGAAGGTGAGGTAGGAGGCGAAACGAGGACCGGCGTGGATCTTCACCTGAAAACAGAAAATGGGGACAAAACTTTTTCTGATTAATAAGGTACATATCTGACCCAAAACCTAACCTCASCAGGCTGTGTGCACCGGGACAATGGTCAAAAATCATCCCCACCAGGTAGCAAAAACATGCACACACRTAGCGAAACAACTAGTTTTTTTTGTTTGTTTGTTTGTTTTGTTTCAAACCAGAGTTGGAAAAACTTTTTTTTTTCTTGTTAACTGTGGAGATGAAATGTGGACGGTTGCTGGCTCTTGCTAGGCCAGGTTCTGTTCTGGGAGAGCAGCAGATCATTTCAGCAGCATGAGGAAGCTCACCTGTATGGCAGGCCACTTTTACATATAATCGGCTTCACCACAATTACATTCCAGGTATGTGAAATTGTTTTTATGACTAGATGTTTTAGTTATTTAAGTKAGAAACACATAAGCTTCAATTAATGCTAATGAAATTGCAGACTTTTTCATGTTCTGTTATTTTATTTTTTAACTGTACACTCTTTTATTAAATACTAGTAATCTTTCTGCTGTTAATTAYTGTCTGTTCTTCATTCTGGTTTTGACAAGGCCAAAGACCCAGAGGGCCAAACTACAGGAGTTGACCTTTAAGGGGCAGGTGTGGTTTAAAACAGGGTTTCTTAACCTTTTTGACCTCGGGGCCCAATTTGTTGAACATAAAGTGACACGAGGTCCAGTCAGACATTAC